ACCAAGAGGAGGCGGGAGTCAGAGGTCGAGCTGCACACCCCCGAGCCTGCGCAACACAATCCGCCCAAGAAACGCAAGAGGGCCGCCAGTCCGCCTTGGTAGGACGCTCGCGTGTAACAGCCCATCACCTTGAGACACTTGCTGACTGACCCACGTCCGATAACAGGCAATTTCCTGTCGCTGCGCAGTCGACCCTGAAGTCCGTTGATGGACGCCGTGTTTCAGCGCGGCACTCAAACGTAGGCACCCCCGGTCTGTCTGGATCCGAGGCCGAACGCGTAGAGACCACACATTCTCGCGGCCGCAGTCAGAGCACCACTGCAGCTTCCCGTCCGCCGTCTCCGCCGTGGAAGAGGTTCGAGGCGCAGGGTCCCACTTCCATCTACATTGACGGCCAGCGTAAGAGCGGCCGTGCCAACAAGGATCTGGTTGCTGTACCCAAGCGTATTAGTCCGCGGAGCAAAAGGCAGGTGGACAGGCTGGGTGGGCAGAAGCATGCGGATATCAAGCCGAGTGCGAGCAAGAGCATGGGAGGAAGCACTCGCAAGAGCGAGCCAGGATCGGAGAAGTCCAAAAAGCAGGCCAATGGACTGGAGCGACCGTCGTCGTCTACTGATAGTGCACAGCGCATCGCGGACCTCCAGGCTCAGATAGCTGCGTTGCAGCCCAGCCGCTCATTCGCACAGGACCCGACTTCGCCCACGACGAACGGTGTGAAGCGCAATCCGGGCAGGCCAAAGTCGAAGATCAAGCGCGAGCCATCGCCAGCTCTGCGACGGAAAAGCCATCGGAACAGCGATGCCTCTCCCGATTCTCCGACTCTCGCGAAGCCGTCACCGAGGCTCAAACTGAAGGTCGCCCCACGAGCCTTTATCCCACCGCCGTTCCCTCAAGCCAGAGTGCCGTCGCCGATACTACCTCCCAGATTATCGATCTGGCAACTGCTAGATAACCTCGAGCTCCAAGAAAGGCAAGCACCGTCCGCTGAGAACGATCGTGGACCACTTTCTGTTGAGAAACTTGCAGAAGACGAGGCGAAGTACGTATCCCGCGAAGCTGCTACCAGGAGGAGAATACTCGAGGCTACACAAAGCGGCGGACCATTGAGCAAGGAGAACCTGAGCCTGTTCCACGACGACCAGCAACCCGAGCCACCGCAGCAGTATGGTCATGGCGATCACCTGACAGCCCACGCGCTGTACCTCCGAACACTTCAGATCAGGGAGAAGACCGTTCACCGCACTTTAGCCAAGAAGGTTGCACAAGAGGCTTTGGAGAAGTGGAAGGAGCGCAATGGACCTACTGAAGAGGACCTCATCGCGGAGCGGAACAAGATCGTTGACCATGTCAAGAAGCAGATCGTTGCGGATATGAAGGCGAAGTGGGAAATGGTTGAGGCGCACGTGAAAGAAATGAAGCGGCGATCATGGGAAAAGGAGCAAGAGCGTGTCCGTGCGGAGAAGCTGAAAGAGAAGCTTGAATACAGCGAAAACCTTTTAGCAAAGCAGCGTGGCGAAGCCGACAGCGACTCGGGCATGGATGAAGACGGCGTGAGTGACGCTGAAGAGTCGGACCAAGAGAGCGAGGAGGACTCGGAAGAGAACATGGACAGCTCAGATGAATCAGAGGAGGAGGGCGCCATGAGTGAAGAAGCATTTGCAGCATACAAGGCAAAGCGTGACGCTGAGCTTGAAGCAGAACGTCAGGCTTCTCAAGGCGTGGAGCCTCCGGACAAGCTGGACTCTGAAGTCGTGCCGGTGCACAACGAGGACCGCAACATAGAGACCAATGCTACCTCGCCGACTCAAGAGCAGAAAGATAGCAATGATGCGGAGCACGACAAGGGAGACGCAACGCCTGAAGCCGAGGGAGAAGGCGATGCCATGGATATCGATGGTGCAGCACCATCCAGTCGGTCCAAGACGTCTGGTTTGGTAGCATTATTTCAGGACGATGACGACGCGGATGACGATGAGACTTCTGACGAGTCCGTGGACATGGATTCGGAAGACTACGATTCGGACGAAGATATGAGTAGTACTGGCGATGAAGCCGACAACAACGATAATGACGAAAACGAGGATGGCACCGACGATACTGAACAACCTCCGGGACTGCGGAATTCCTTGATGGCTCTTTACAGTGACAAGGAGCTCTTGAAGCAAAAGGAGGGTGGTCTTCCAACGCCAATGACCAGTGTGGAGAACGGTGGCGATGATGAGAACGCGCGGCCACAATCTGAACCCAGATCGGAGGCTCAAGCAGATGCTGGCGCGTCTACCGACGAGAAAGCGATCGTGAACGGCATAGACGAACAGCCAGGTGCCGTGGACTCGGAGGACAAGGCTGCCCCACCTTTGCAAACGAACGGAGATGGCGATGCTATGGACACCGAGCAGGGCGAAGAAGTGGACGGGGCGTCAGAGACTTCGGAGTCGGGCTTCACAAAGACCCTTGTGCCAGTTCCCACCCTACTTCGCGGCACTCTTCGCTCATACCAGCACGCTGGTGTGGACTGGTTGGCCTCCTTGTATCGCAATGGCACAAATGGCATACTTGCTGACGAGATGGGCCTCGGCAAGACAATACAAACGATTGCCCTACTCGCGCATCTGGCAGAGGTGCACGAGGTTTGGGAGACACATCTTGTCATTGTACCGACATCGGTCATCCTGAACTGGGTCACAGAGTTCCAGAAGTTCTTGCCTGGTTTTCGTGTTTTGGGATATTATGGATCTGCGTCCGAACGAGAACTCAAGCGTAAAGGTTGGACGAATGACCCACACCACGAAGACCGATCAAAGAGAGGCTACAACGTAGTGATCACAAGCTACAATGTTGCAGCGCAGGACATCAACGCGATCCGTGGCCAGCAGTGGCACTATCTCATCCTGGATGAAGCTCACAATATCAGGAATTTCAACAGTCAGCGGTGGCAGCTGTTGATACGTTTGAGAACAAAGGCGCGCCTTCTGCTCACCGGAACACCGCTGCAGAATGATCTTGCCGAAGTCTGGTCTCTGCTCACTTTCTTGACTGCGGGTGACGAAAGCCGGTCCCATGGTGAGCTTGAGGAGTTTCTCAGCCATTGGAAGGACCCTGTCAAGGAGATCTTCGACCAAGGAGTTCAGAAATTGACCGAAAATGCCCAGCGTGTGGTTGACCAATTGCATATCTCCCTGCGCCCATTCTTGCTTCGCCGCAAAAAGGATGAGGTGGAAAAGGACCTTCCCAAAAAGACAGAATCCGTGGTGGTGTGCAAGCTCAGCAAGCGCCAACGTCAGCTGTATCAAGATTACATGGGGCTCGCATCCACACGCGACACGCTCGCTAAGGGCAGCGGTGTTCAAGCAGGAGCTGTCTTATTGAGTCTGAGGAGGGTGTGTAATCATCCAGATCTCTTTGACCCACGGCCAATTCAGACCAGCTTTGCAATGGAATACAGTCCTCTGGAGGGCTACGCCGAATCTGAGCACCTGATCCGCCGCATGTCTGGGGCTCGTGACAACATCCCTGCGAAACTACTGATTGTCAGCAACACGTCTCTGAGGAGATCTGCAATGAACCGTTCACGACAGCTCGCTGTGGGTGACGAGCTCTCACGCCAGCTGAGCGAAGTTGAGTCGACCATACCCATCGAAGAACCCGATCGCGCAACAATCGCAGGCTCCCGCGCTCTCCAACGCCTTCGCATGCGGCAGCGCAGGTTGCGGCAGCTCCGTTCTTGCATTGCAGCCACTGAGTCTGCGTTAGACCAGGAGCCGTTGCTTCCAACAGATCTTCGGGAGGTTATCACTGTCAGCAACAACAAGCCTTACATGTTCAAGCCGAAATCTCAGCCGCTGGTCAAGACATGGCAAGGACACACACGAATGGGTCGAAGGCCCATGCGCTTTGAACATCTCAGTGACTGGCATGTGGCCAATGACACACAGCTGCAACGCGATGTCGCTACTCTGGACAGCTACGCAGAGGACATGAAAGAGCTCATTGTGCGATTTGCATTCGTGCCACCTGCCGCGACGGTGCCTATCTTGGATTATGCCATCCCGCGGAAGGCGCAAGAGGCCGTGCGTAGCTCACCATTGTATCCAGCTGATCACGATTATGGTCATGAAGCCCGGGTTCGAACATCCATTGCCTTCCCGGATAAGCGCCTCCTTATCTACGATGCAGGTAAGCTGCAACGCCTGACATATCTACTACGGGACTTGCAATCACGAGGGTCTCGCAGTCTGATCTTCTCACAAATGACTGGAACGCTCGACGTGCTGGAACATTTCCTGAGCTTGATGGGATTGCCCTACTTGCGCTTGGATGGAAGTACGCCAGTTGAGCGCAGACAACTCTATTCGTCCGAATTCAACCGCGCGGACTCCAAGTATCAGTGTATGATATTGTCGTCCCGTGCTGGAGGAGTGGGCCTGAACTTGACCGGCGCATCTTCAGTAATATTCTACGACCTGGACTGGAATCCGCAGATGGATCGACAGTGTATGGATCGAGCTCATCGCATTGGACAGACGAAAGACGTTGAGGTGTACAAACTTGTGAGCGAGAAGACTGTAGAGGAGAACATCCTGCGGCGTGCCAATCAGAAGAGTCTGCTCGACCAGACTGTCATTCAAGACGGACACTTCACGACGGAATACCAGCTCAAGCGCAGCTCTGACGACAAACAAGACGAGATTGACGACGCCATCAGCCGTTTGCTTGGAGGGGACGAGCAAGCCACAACGACAGCGCTTGCGTCGGTGGAGGACAAAGAGGATGTTCAAGCTGCAGAGAAGGCTGGCAAGGAAGATCGCACCGACGATGTCGACTTTGGTGATCGTTCATCGAAGGGACCCTCCAAGGCCAACACTCCTGGACCAGGCGCAGCAGAGGACGAGGTCGACGAGTTTACAGAGGAACTCAAGGGTCACGTTGACCTGTACATGATCAAGCAGATGGAGCATCTGCTGCAAGGCTGGGTATACACACCGCCACCAGCACGACTGGACAAGCATGGCAGAGATCGTAGCCATCGACCCAAAAAGAGAATTCGATAGATGCGAACCTGACAGCACAGGTCGCTGGGCGGTGGCATTGTAGAACTATAGGGAGGGGACACGCATAGCGAAGGAGTTCAGTACCAAGGCGGTGCATCGTCGACTCTGACGTGTTGATCAACAACACTGAACGAACATGTAACATAGCGAAAGCGAAGAACATTTGCAAAAGCAACCACACGGCCATTCCAGTGTCGATGCCCAGATGTGGAAAGTGGCAGTTCCAATCTAGATGAATGTGGCTTGTGTAACTTTGATCCCCTCGCAGCCTCTCACAGCACACACATACCAAGCCTGGCATAGCCGGTAGCCGTGGGAACGTGACCTTGTCTTGCTTGTGCACCGCCTACAGATCAAAAGTATCATCATCCTGCGGCCTCATAGTGCAGCGCAGCGTGGCAGCCAGCATAACAATGACGTGAATCTTAGTGGCGATCCTCAGAGATGTGAAGATTCCTGATTGGTGATCATCAGCAAAGGCCAAGGCGCAGCGTGGCTTGAATGGCGAGACTTGAGTGGTAGCATTCACCGCTTGGCTCTTTCTGCTCGTGCCGCAGAAGCTCCTGCGTGCACAGGCTAAAGACGCATCATAGAATGAGACTTTCGCTCCTTCGCGGTACTCCGCTTGCTTCGCCTCATTGCGGTCATTGTTATATAACAAGGGACACCTGGGACTTGCCTTTTCTTCGCTTGCCACAGACAAGCATTTCATTTTGTTTCACCACAGCCTGTACTTCACTGTCTTACGATACGACACGAACGACGACAGACCACAGCGTCGACTTACCGTCTTCTAATATAATCAAAGCGACACACACCCAACAGCCAAGATGAGGTTACTGCAATCCATCTTTTACCTGATCACCCTCTTCACACTCGGCCAAGCACTGGCTCTACCGGGGTCGATCAATGACATCACCGAAGCATCCAAGCAACTCTTCAAGCGCAAGGGCGGCGGTGGAGGCGGCGGACGTGGTGGCGGCAGCAGTGGAGGAAGTTCTCGTGGCGGCAGCAGCAGCAGCTCCTCGTCCTCGTCTTCCAGTGGTTCCTCATCTAGCGGCGGCCGCACATCAAGTGGCTCCAGCACCGGCGGCTCAACACGCGCAGGCTCTGGTCCTGCTCGAGGATACGGCAATGGACGCTACTACGGTGGCGGCGCTGCAGCTCCTTACAGTGCTGGCGCAACACGCGGAGGTCTAAGAACGCCTGTCCTCCTCGGCGCCGGTGCTCTCCTCGTCTTCCCAGCCATCGCAGCCTACGGCGCGTACGGCGCATACTCCTACGGTTACCCATACTACTGGAACTACCGCAACCAGACCTCCGGACAGAACGAATCCCACCCGGCGCAGTGCTGGTGCGCGAGGTACTACTCTTGTTCATGCGATGAGAACAACGAGACGGAATATCAAAACAACGTCGCGAACAACGCATCACAGGCAAAGTTGGTCAGACTAGAGGGCGATGACAACGACACATTGGTGATCGACGGCACTCTGCCAAACGGTACCACCGCTCCAGGTGGATCGGACAGTGGCGCGATGGGCAGTGCGCTTGAGATGGTCGGATACTGGCCTATGGTCGCTATTGCACTGGCCACGGCTTATGTGCTTTGAGGGGATCGCAGATCCAGATTACGACCCGATACGACTTTGTACATTTCACGATTGGAGATGGACGAACACTTTTTGATACCCTTGGTGAGCGCGTACGCAGAACCGCGAATTGTACGATAGCAGAATAGATACTTATGTACAGCATTTTTGGTCAGTGTTTATTTTCGTGTCACTATGATGAAGTACGAATTTTCGGTGAGGAACGATCGATCACTACGAGGGAAAGCAGCATGTTATCATCCTTGACACCGTAATGCAACTCAGTATGAAGGCAAGATGTGGAGCGACCTTCTCTTTGTCTCCCGAGCCATCTACAGAGATGAACGTTGTCCTCGACAAATGCGGCACACGAAATGGAGCTCGAACAATGAACAACACTTCTTGAGGCCCCAGAAAAGGTCGTTCCATATACCTCACAGGGAGCAGGAACATGTATGTCCAACCATAGCATAAGCCAAACTCCAAGCTCAACATGTCATTCGGCGACACAGACCACTACCGCGAACTCTTCCTCGAGCTCGAGACGACACCACACAGAAGCCAGCTTAACCCGGCGCAAATCCAGCTCTTGACCAATGCACTCAAAACCCGTTGGAACGGCCTCTCTGAATTCCGCCGCAACGAACGCGGCCGCGCCATTCAAAATTTTCACGAAGCATTGAAAGATAAATCTGATGCGCAGCGGCAGCTTGCTTACGTGGAGAAATATCGCGGTGCTCCCAACGATAATGGGAGTGATATCTGGAGGCCGAGGTTCGGGTTGTATGAGGAGAAACTTCGAAAAATGGTCAGGGTTTTGAGGAAAGTGGATCTCAGGTGTGGGCAGCTTTGGAGATTGAGGGAGAAAGAGAGGCAGGGGGATCCGGTGGGGACGTGGTTGAGAGATTTGTTAGATGCGGCGAGGACTGAGGCGGATAGCATTGACGACTGGATGCGGCGGGAGCTTAGTACGTTGAGGCAGAAGGCGGAGAAGCGGGCAAAGGCGTTGGAGGAGGCGGGCGATGATAGCGATGATGATGTGGAGATCGCTGAAGAAGATATCGCGGCAAATGAGGAGCAGAGTGATCCCGTAGACGATGAGGACGAGAGCGAAGGCGAGGGAAGCGATAGTAGCGGCAGTCGTGGTGAGTTCTGTGTAAATTTTACCAAATTGGCAGTTACTAACATAGTCGCGCAGCCTGGTACGGCACATTGTATCTCGGTGGCGGAAGCTACGGTGCAGCATATCTCTGGCTTCAAGTCGACCAGAGGACAGACACGATCTGCAATCGTGTGGTATGCAAGAAAGCGAATCTGGCCCCAATTTGGAATTATTCTCATTTCTGGACAAATGGAGCTCCGGGCATAACAGACAACTTTTCGGATAACCTGCCGACGGAGTAAGATCAATAGCCTCTTTATGTGATGTTTCATGATGAGCTTCCGACTGACGAAGGCAACAGGATACAAGCCCATCTAGGTCTCCGTGGCAAGCCTGGATCGAGGAGCACGGTGGAGATGCTGAACTACAATCTTCGCCTAGAGGACAAACAAGCTGATTTGTACTTGGAATATTGTCCATTCGGCGACGCCTTTGATCTTCTCAGCGGAAATTATGGATACCGTAAGTAGTAGTTCTCACATCGAGCAAGTGCTATCAATCGGGACTCAGCTGAACAAGTCGATAGACGCTGCAGAACACACGAAGAGGATCGAGTCACCCTGGGAAGACCATTCGGACGAATACAAGTTGTATCCGGAGCCTTTCTGCTGGGCCGCCTTCCAGAATCTGGTTATCGCCGGCATCCTTATGGAGCGAGGTCAATTGAAGAGGACCGGAGCTGATCCCGATTGGCCTGTAATTGTCCACCGCGATTTCAAAATCGACAACATCTTCTTCGGAGTGGCAGACGACAAAAGTTTCCCGGGGTATCCCCGAGCCAAAGTTGGTGACTTCGGTCTGGCGATCGCCATACCTCCCAACGACCCGCGTGACTTGGGAGACCTGAGAACGCAAGGAACGGCCGAACACGCTGCGCCCGAGATGCAAGTCCGACTCGAAGTTTCAAACGTCCGGCGAACACAATCGACCAAGACAAACGTTTGGGGCGTGGGCATTGTAATGTTCTCGTTGCTCGCTGGTAAATATGGACCATGCACCGTGAACGAGACGTGGTTCGACTGGGACAGACCGAGTCGAAGGGAGCCTCCGGAGTTGGATGCTTCGGCGCAAGCATTCTACAGCCGTGAGCTGGTCAACTTGGTCATGGCATGTATGCGCTACAACGATAGCGATCGGCCATCTTTCGATCATCTCTTCGCAGAGATTCGCAAATACACCACTCCGGGCGCACGCGACCGCGCCTTCGGTCTGCGGGATTTATCTCCCGAACACCCCGAATATGGAGCGAAGTTTGCTGGACACAGTGTGCCGTTTGGTGTAGACAATTATGCTCTTGGCTTGGCATACGATGATTCGGGATTCGACGAGCTTTACAGTCCAGCGAGACCACCTGCTGCGCTGGCCGGTGTTTAATGTATTTCAGCCGAGCTTGTAGGCTCTCCGAGCTGCTTCGCTCCAAACCGATGCCCTATCTGCATCTGAGAGATCAGCAACTTGATTTTCGATCAGATCTGCGACGATCCCCTTCCACATCGTCCACGAAGCTTCTTCGCCCGGTCCTCGGACATTGCAGACAGGCCAATCACTGCCGAACATGATTCTTTCAGGCCCGAACACTGCAAAGACATGTTCGACCCAGGGCTTCATGTGTTTGGCAATGGCAGCAGCGTCCTTGGTCGCGAGAACCTCCTCGGGAAGTTCGCTCAAGCCACCCGAGAGCTTCATGTATGTTTTAGACCACCCGGCCATGACTTGCGTCGCTTTTGTCCAAGCCCGAAACTCCGGGCCGTTTGGTATAAAATCCGGCTTACAAAGGTGGTTGATCACGAATGTGACCTTCTCCGCCTCCGAGACGTCCAAATGTGCCTTCTCCATCGCTGTCGCGATCGCCTGTAGTTGCCACGCACCCCCGGAGTGCTGGTCAACGCCAATGTCAAATGCGAAGCCACGTTTGCCGAGTAGTTGGAGGTTTTTTGTGAAGTGGTCACTCCAGACCAGTCTCTCGAATTCCTCTTGGTCTTGTATGAATTGTAGCAGAAATCGAAAGCCTTTGACTCGTTTCCACGTCTCTCGTCCAGCGGTCTCTTCAGCCACGCGTAGCCACTCTTCTAGTACGTTCGTCGGTTGGTCCATTGGTGCCCAGGCAACAATCCCGATGAGAATATGGCTGTCTCGCTCGCCATATTTGCCTTCGACTATATCTCGTAGGAATCTGATCTCGTCCAGTGGGCCTTTGGCCCATGATCGCAGGTCGCCATTGGGCTTGTCATAGCGCACGTCGGTCTCAACGTACACAACTCCTTCGAAAGTGACGTCTTGCTTGCGTAGCTCATCTTGTTTGGAAGCGCGATAGTAGTCGGAGAGTATGTGTTGCTTAGCAAGTGGCATACCCGGCGTCATCCAAGCGTGGCCTCCTTCGCCAGCATGTGACATGCTCTGGGGCCAGACATGCGTGTGAGAGTCAATGATGCGAAGCGGCGCCATGGTTGCGGCGTACGCTGCAGAGGCGAAAGGTCCAGAGATGAATGGTTACAAAGAAGAATGCTAAGCCCTGTCGTTTCCCACTCGCCTCGAAGTCTACTGCATCGCGGATGCAGAGGAATTACGAAGATGTGCAATGCAATCAATATCTGCTGCTTGCTGCAGTGCAGGCTCGGGCTTCCGCGCTCATCAGGACGTCGGCCGGTGTCAGGAATAATGCATGATCTCGCCAAAGACTTGCTGCAAGGCCGAAAGATCGGGGTCTGCCGGGTTTGCAGTTTACACGCATGTGCGGCTCGCCAGCTCGCTGTGCATTGCGCCGAACCAGACCCCTCCTGCATCGAGCCAGCGAAACAAGCTCCAATTTGGTTGCATACATGGGCCGAGAAAAATTGTTGCCATGTTGTGTAGTGAACGTAGAAGACACGCTGTGCTCATCACTCATTTCGCGACGGTATTTTGTGATTGGAGCAATCGAAGATGGCAGCACTACTGCAAGGCAAAGTTGCGGCTATTACAGGAGCCGTGACGGGCATAGGCAGAGCCATTGCGTTGGACTATTTGAGACATGGAGCTAGTGTTGCTGTGAATTATTATCCAGACGACAAGTCGGCCAGCCAATTCGAGGCATTGTCAAAAGAAGTTGGCGAAAACGCAAGACTTATCGGAGTGCCCGGGGACATCACCAAACCGGAGACAGGCCAGGAGCTGGTCAAGAAGACTGTTGAGAAGTTCGGAAAGCTAGATGTCTTCGTGAGCAATGCAGGAGTTTGCCAGTTTGCCGACTTTCTCACGTATGCAATCACATGTGTTTGGCTGTTGAGCTGCATGACTGACCTTGCCACAGCATGTCGCCCGACCTGGTCAACCACACCATACAAACAAACCTCAACGGTGCATTCTTTGCAGTGCAGGCCGCGGCGCGGCAGATGTCGACGCAAGAGCCACGTGGTGGCAGTATCATCGGCGTGTCGTCAATATCTGCATTGGTGGGTGGTGCAGGACAGACACATTATACCCCCACCAAAGCTGGCGTTTTATCCTTGATGCAGAGTACAGCATGTGCATTGGGGAAATATGGCATCAGATGCAATGCTCTATTGCCGGGCACGATCCGGACACAACTCAACGATGAGGATTTGGCAAGCGAAGAGAAGCGACAGTACATGGAGGGTCGCATACCGCTAGGCAGGCTGGGACAGCCGAAAGACCTGGCCGGACCAGCTGTGTTCCTGGCCAGTGATCTGAGTGAGTACGTTTCTGGGGCGCAACTTCTTGTTGACGGAGGCCTCTTTGTCAATCTGCAGTAAAAAGATTGCTTCAATCGAAACCATCAAAGTCTGCGCCTTGATCGTTCGGTTCAGCCGATGCCGCGTCTCGTCGTCGACGACTGCCCAGGATTGCACCACGTCGTTTGTTCTCTTGTCGTCGTACAAAGCCAGCTTTGGTGCTGATCTTGGCTTTGCGAGCTGCTCGCGGATCCTTGTTCATGCCTCGGGCAGTTCTCGTTTCCACCCCGTGCTTCTTCAGATCCTGCTTCGCTTTCTTGTTGAGATCTGGCAACGCATCAAGCAACCATTTCTGAACCCCAGTGTCCGGATTGCCCTTCTGCTTCTGCGCCATTGAGACCACATTGGCGATTGGTTTCATGTATGGTATGTCTTCTTGGCTGAACAGTGTAACGGCCACGCCACCCTCGCGTCCGGCTCGCCCAGTGCGTCCCACGCGATGGATGTATGCTGCACTCGACGTGGGGATGTCATAGTTGACCACCCCGTTCACGCCACGGAAATCCACGCCTCGCGACAGGAGATCTGTTGTGATCAGGACCCAGACCTCCCCTCTGCGGAATTTAGTCATGACAGTATCGCGTGCTGCATCCGAGAGGTCTGAGTGTAGCACAGCAATCCTACTGATGCCGCCAGCTTCCGCGGGTATGTCGTAAAGCAGTTCTGAATGCAGTGCAACGGCACGTTCAATAGTTTGCGTGAAAACAAGGAACGGAGGCAGTAATGGAGGTCCAGATTCTGTTGAACTTGTGGCAGGATGCAGGAGGTTGCGGAGACCCATGAGTTTGCCCTGCTCCGAAGCCGAATACACCAACTTGTGCTCTACGTTTGGCACGGCCGAGTCCTTCAGACCAACCACGAGTCGTAGAAGGGGAACTGCAGCGGCGGCGTCGTCGTCTCCCTGCGCAATCCGAGCGCGTCGCTCTTGCATAATCGACTGTGCCAGCTCTTCGATGTTGCTTCCCATGGTCGCTGACCACAAACTGACTCGCAAGTCAGGATGAGGTAGACCATTCCAGATCGCCAACGTTTGTTCGCGAAACAGCGGGTCCAGCAAGACGTCGGCCTCGTCAAGAATCAGGTGCTGAACATTTGAGAGTGCTTCGGACTGGTCGTGTGGCAGACCTTGGACAATGCCAGCGAGCGCTCCAGGCGTTGAGACAAGGATATCGGCCTTTACTGCAGTTCCAGAAGGCTTTCCAATGTCTGGAGGCTGGTCATCTTCGTCTTCACTGTCATGTGTTGACGTAGTGGACATGGCCAATTTCATTCCCTTCCGAACCTGTGTCACGCGCAACCCAGTGTTGCGAGCAAGCTTCTTGCACTCGTTCACTATCTGACTGGCGAGCTCTTTAGTGGGAGCAAGGATAATGGAGGAGATAGATCTCGGGGTATCATTGCGCTCGCGCTTGATTTGGTGAAGCCTATGCATTAGAGGTATGGCAAAAGCAAGCGTCTTTCCGCTGCCTGTAGGTGCCACCGTCAACAGGTCAACATGACTGTGTTCTGTGGCAGACGGAACGCCAGTAGTGGACAAAAGCGCACTGGGTGATTCCAACAAAAGTGGGATTGCCCCGAGTTGAACCTCTGTTGGCATGGAATAGCCCTGGTCTTCAACATTGCTTGCGATTCTAGCTGAGACGCCATATATCTCTCGAAGCTCCGAGAAGGTTTGTAATGGCTGTGGATATATCGACAGCTTTTCGGCTTTCGCTTGCTTCTTGTCACCTTTCTCTTTCCCCTTTGAGCGTGCCTTGTCCTCGACTGCTGGTGGGTTGAGCCACGTAACCTTCAACTTGTGCTGGCGCAGCACATTTTTGCGCTCTCCTTCGGGCAATCGATACGAAGTGGGTGCTGAATTGTCTTTCTCGCCCTCGTCGGTCTGCTTTGCCACCGCGCTCTGCTTTGCGGACGCCGCAGGAGATTCGCCTTTCGCATTTGACCGTCCACTACCGAAGAAGTCCAGCTCTGCGGAAGCATCATCGATCATGTCGCCCCCTCGCTTCCGTTTTTTCGAGCCTGGTGCGACAGCTTCGGCTTTCACTGGGAAAAGCTGAGGTGCTGCATTCTGGCCGCTAGATGGTGTGCTGCGCTGCACCGTTCCCGTCTTTGAGCGTTTGATTGATCGCGACAGCAATTTGAGAGGATCCATGTGTTGGTTCGAATTCAGATTCGGCCTAGCATACTTGTTGTCGAATTATTTCAGAGAGAGTGTTGCGACTTAAAGTTTTCGGAGCTCGGGAGAATTCGCGGACCTTGCCGTAGCTGTCGACTTCCGAGCGCTTTTTGCATTGGAGACAGCTTCCGTCACCCAGCACTCCCTCACCACAATGGCATCTCCCGCCATGTCCCGGATGGTCTTGCGCCAGTCCAAGTTCCTTCTGCAACGACGCGCCGCCTCGACGACCTCGGAGGCCGCCTCCGCCGCATCGAAGGGCGCAACAGCGGCTAAGGAGACGGCTCAAAACACCGTGTCGAAAGCACAACAAGGACTGTCCAAGGTCACAAGCTCTGCCGGTCCAGCACTGAGCAAGGCCGCTGCCGGTGTCAGTAGCAGTCTATCGAAGGTCGGTGGACGCACAGGAGCGCTCATCGGCTTTGTACAAGGTCAGTCGTGGGAGAGGCTGGGAGAGCAACGATGGCATTCAACTGAACAATGCGTAGGCCTGGTCCCCCATGTAGTCTACTATGGCAAAGTCGCCGGCGAGCTGGGCAAGATCATCTACACTGGACGCGGCATGCAGCCACCGTAAGCATCGCAGGAGGTGTTGGGGTATGGGCAAGAGAAGTGGCTGACTTTCCGCAGCAACGCACAAACCGTCCAGAATGTCATCGCACCCATCCGAAACGCAGTGTCGAACCCCGCCGCCGTCGGTTCGCGAACAGCCAAGGCCGCCGAGAAGACCGCAGACCAAGCGCTCAATAGCCCACAGTCGTTCTTGGAGAGGTTAAGAAACCTTGATTCAGCTACCTTGACCCAGGTTGGCATCGTCACTGCTGAGACCATTGGCTTCTTCTCGATTGGTGAGATCATCGGGCGCTTCAAGATCATTGGCTACAGGAGCAACGCAGCGCATGAGCATCACTGAAAGAGTCTAATACCAAGCTATCAAGAGATTTTGGGGAAGAATCCGTTACACCTACTAGATGAAGGACAGTCGCGGCACCGCCCTGGCTTTGTCTGCGGAAGCGAGGTGCGTCTAGCACTGCGGTGGCTAAGAGGCGCGTGTACTATTGTGCATATATGCGAGGTACTTGAACCAGATACAAACGACGTTTCCATATGTGCATTCAGACAGCATACCGGCTCGCCCGCGCTCGGATGAAAATAGTGCGACTTGCCGCAAGGTCGTTCGATGGACCAACTACGCCTCAACGCCCGCCGAGAGGCGACATAATGCCTCGAACGTCACAGGCTTTTCCACGTGGAGACGCCATTGTGGGGATATTCATGAATCAGTGAGTCCCTATCAACAATATAAAGATGACTGACGTCGAGTAATTCGTAAATAGCTGCATAGTGTCAGCACGGCGAATTGAAGTCTGCCAGAGTTGTGGCGGATTTGCTTAGTGTACTGTCCGCCTTGCAGGGCCGCACATGTCTCGGCGATTTCGTTGCTACGACTAACCTTAACTAGTCCACACACGAACATGTTCATCTTACATATGCAAGACCTCACGGTTTGTCATGCGTTTCACAATCCTGTTCGTCGATCACAAGGATGATGTGGTGCAATGAGTGACGACACTGTCGCTAGTGCCTTGCTGTATGCTACAGGGCCGATGGCTGTTGGTGGCCCCTGGTGTATGATCAAGAGGAAGTACGGAGCACTGGTCGTGATCGAAAAGTGCAATGGAGCTTGCCTGATCGAAATAACGGCCGATGAGAGGTAAGCAGAGTCGACCGCTCATGAAGACGAATACTACGGTGAAGTGGGACATGCGAAGAGGCGAGTATTCATGGTGAGCTGCTTGAACAACCACGCGTTTCGTCGCTGCCATGCCTGGAGCCGAGGACAAATACTGATGCACTGGTTTGTGTGGGATTTCGCTTCCAAACCGTTGAAACAGCAAAATGATCCTCTTCGGCATCGCGTAGGGTGTCCCATACATAGTTGATACGGACATGGCAGCGGCTCGCTTGATATATTCGAGCGGACAGTGCTGGGGTGTATAACGAGAGTGTAGGAATCGGGCAAGCCCAGCTGGGCGTACTTGCCGTCCGACGTCGTCTTCTTTAGATGGCCGCAGGGCAGGCAGGGGCCGGGCACTTCCTAACTGTGATGCCAGATTAGATGGATGAACTGACAGGAAAGTGCAAGAACGACCCGAGCAGGCGGCAGCGTCTCCTGCCAACACCCCAACCAAGCCGCCTACGGAGTCGTTATGACCACCCATCCTCCCGCAGCACCTTCGCGCTCACCCTGCTGCCTGTGGCAGATCTCACGTCTAGCGGCGCCGCCTTGGAAGTATGGGAGGACGTTCCGGCGGCAAAGTCGCGCTTGGGGGAAGTAATCCGAGAAGTGTACTCACATGTACCTGCAGACAATGATCTGCTTCTAATGTCGTGCAACGGCTGCATTGGAGCCTCAAGGCACCGTGGCCGCACTCGTATCATTACGATCAGAAAACAGTCGAGCCCTCATCTGGACACGACGGCGAGTGGGCTTGCGTCACGATCCACGTCACGAATGGCACGAAGATGAGAATGCGAGCATGTACCTGCTCGGCGTAACAGTCACAAGATGGGAAAATTTCTTGCAGCAGTTGGGTGAGGTCTGCGCCTAGCCGTCGCGAAAGCCGCGGAATCCAGCTTCCAAGCGCTGCGGTGGAGACCCACGGCGAGGACAGATATTGCGACAGTCATCGTGATGGTGGCTGCATGCCCTAGTGGACGCGATGGCACAAGTTGCTTCGCGCTACGGAGAGCTCTTGCAGCTGAGATGCCACCAAGCAACCGTGGAGGATCGTGTGCTTCGTTAAGCGACAGCCGTCGCTGTCGTGCGAGCAAGCATGCCAGCATACAGACGCAGCGGAATACGGGACGATGCTTCCACGCGCGGCCGATCGATTTGAAGCAATGGGACCCCAGGTCCTCATTCTTGTGTTGTGCATATGGAAGCTGCTCGCCCTGCGGAAGGGCACATGCCCAAATGGGAACGGCGTTCGCTCGATAATGATGTCTACGTGCAGCAGCGATGGCAAGAAGGACTTGCATTTGACGTCAATACCGCCGCTACAACGGCGAGCTGTGCTCCCAATGTCCGCGAAATCGAAAAGATGCGCATCGACTTGCTTCGGACATATCGCTCGATCAAGCGCGAAAAGGCAATGGGGCGGACACAGCTCAACAGCTCTAACGGGACTATAGCTGCACGTTTTAGTGTTTGCTCGCGGCACAGGGTCCACCACTGCCAGTCCGATATGGAAGCGGACGACAGTGAAGCGTGTGGTGATAGAGGAAGGTCTAGTATGGTAGGCCTCAAGACACGCCATACGGATTAGCGCGTGGAGCAAACGGACCCTCGCGCGGGAGCAGCAGCTGTCAAAGTGTCGAGGCAGCACGTTCACATCAGCAGCAGGGACAAACGGGAGCGAGCATATCGCTTACCACATGTTATTCTTCTCAACGCTTTCGTGTGAGAAGTCCTGGCCCTAGCCGGCTGCATGATTTGGCAACACGGGTACGTACATTGTACCTAAACGAGGGTGGTGTCGAAGCTTTTCACACCAGTTCACTTCGTGGTGCTCGAGAAGTCGTCATTAGCCGTGCGTGGGTGGTGCCGGGCGTGGCTGTCGACTATCCCAGCTGTGGCATGGGCTAGCCATCGTCGATACAGCAGACGCGCAAACCCTGCGAGGCTCGGTGCCTCGAGGATGTCGCATGTGGCATGTCTCACGTCTCAACGCCTTCGGGCTGGCCAGGCGCGGTGCTGCGATCGGGGCCTCGAGCGCCCGGGGGTCAGCAGCGACGAGGCAGAAGGAGGGTGCGTGGTGGTGTGGGCGTGCGTGTGCGTGTTGTGCTCACTCTTCGGCGCGCGCAGCTTCGCTGCCGTCAGTGCGCATTGCCGCCGACCTTGAGCCAGCAGCTGGGCCCCATATGGTGCGTTGCGGGCCCGAGATTGGCCCAGGGCAGGCGGAGGGAGCGCGCGCGCGCGACGCCGATGGGCGCAATGGCATCGGAGGTTCAATAACACCACGCACCACACACGGCCGAGCGACGACGGGAGCAGCGCTGCAGCGCGAGAGTAAAATAGAATGCTGAGCTGCAGGCGCTAAGCGGCAGCCAACAAGAAGGATAATGCACAGCGATGGCGAGTAGCTTTTGACGCTGCTTGCTGCTTGCTCGCGGGTCGCCGGTCAACCAATCTGGCCGGCATCCAGCTGCTGCGGGCGAGCCAGTCCAGTCCAGTCTCTTGCTCGACCTCGACCGGAGCGTGGCTGCGCGCTGGGAGCGCGAGTAACAACGGACAAGCAGCGTGCAGTCGGCGAGAGCGCTCGTGCCCGTACGCAGGCGCCGCACGCAATCTCCATCAATCAAGCAATCAATCAATCGACCGACTATACAGCAACACTACATATGGACCCGAGCAACATGCGCACGAGCGCGCGCCCGTCTTGCCCTTGCTTAGCTTAACCTGCATGAGTGCGCCGGATGCGGCCTAGCAGCTGGAACCCCACCCGCTCGATATCGCCAGCCAGAAGTCGTCTGGCAGAGGCCAAAGAGGGGCGCGCCAAAGCTCCCTCCAGCGTCGAGTGCATGCGCCGAGCTTGCGCTCGCTCGCTCAAGTGGTGGAGCAGCTGGCACGCCTCTAATTCCACACGGTGATCTCATAAGGTATGGTCTTCTGCAGCAAAAACCCGTGCCAAATGAAACATTCGCCCAGCATGGACGGGTGCTAAGCGCTGCATAACCTACCGAGGGCGCTGTTGATACTTTTTTATATTCACCTGCTCTGCCCACACCCGCCTCCCTCTCCTCCATTTCCCTCGCGCCCGTCCTATGTCGATTCTGGACTCGCCACCACTTCCTCTCGTTTCAGGGTCGCAGCATGGTTTCCTGGTATCACATCGCCGTCTTTGCATGGTATGTTCACCTTCGTCCTGTCGTCGGCACGGGTATCAGAAACTCAATCTGCCCGGACCACGTGAGCTGATCGGTCTTCAGGTTGTTTCGATATTTTCGCTTGATTGTTAATTGCATCTCCCACTGGACCTTCAGGCCGATACCCATACCGGAGTATCCCACCTACACCTCACAGGATGTCACCATAATTCTGCCCACCATCGCCACTGGCGGCGATGAGCTCCGAGACACGATATCCACTTGTCTTCGTTCCGAGCCTTACGAGTTGCTGCTCGTCACCATCGATGCGAACCGGGACGCTCTGGTGAAGCTCGCTAACCAGATCAACGCCAAGAAGATTCGCGTGTTGAGCATTCGAGAGGCCAACAAGCGCAGGCAAATGTGCAGAGCCATCCCGGAGGTCGTCACGAAAATTACCATCTTCGTCGACGACGATGTGGTCTGGCCGGCAAAAGTATTGCCATGGATGTTGGCACCATTCGAAGATGCCAAAGTGGGCGGCGTGGGCACTTCACAGAGGCTGAAAAGGCCGGCGCAGCAGAGCGCTTGGGGTTTCCTCGGCGCCACCTATCTCGAGCGACGGAACTTCGACTGTTCCGCCTGCCTCCACATCGATGGCGGATTGCCGTGTCTCTCAGGACGAACAGTCGCCTACCGAACCGAAATTTTGCAGGATGAGGCCTTCACGCACGGATTCACTCACGAGGAGTGGAGGACGATGCAGCTGAATGCCGACGACGACAATTTCATCACGCGATGGCTGTATTCTCATGGGTGGAAGATCAAAATGCAGTATCACAAGGAATGCGAAGTGCAGACGACTTTGGAAGAGGGACCGAAATATCTCAGGCAATGTCTGCGTTGGGTGCGCAGTAATTGGCGCAGCAACCTGACCAGCTTGTTTGTGGAACGGCACTACTGGATGTATGCTGCTACTCCCCATCCTTTGAAGTCATATTTGTCCTTACTGACGCGCGGGTTCAGATCGCAACCGTGGAGCACGTATTCCGTGCTGCAAACCACAATCACCGCCTGGGCACTGCCCTATGATATTTTGATATTCACATCTTGGTATCAAGCATCAAAAGGGTGGTCATATGACGAGCGCTGGTATTTATTCACGTTCCTCGTAGTATGGACATATGGCTTCAGCAAGACTGTCAAGCTTTGGGGCCACTTCTTCCGCTACCCAGCGGACGTTGTATACATTCCTCTGTACATCGCTTTTGGCTATTACCATGGCGGCATCAAGCTCTATGGAATGTTAACGCTCGATGCGGTAAGTCTCCAGGAAATTTCCCTTTTGGGGATTATGGTTCACGATCACTGACCGCCTTTTCAGACTACATGGGGAAGCAGGGACGGAGCCGATACCGACAACCGCGTGCGTATGATCAGACTACCACCGTATGGGTCGACGTCACTCGATGCACCTGATGGTCGCAAGTCGGAATCGTTCGACTACCCGCCGCCACAAGCACCCCGAGCGATGCTCGAGGTCGACCAACTCCCAGCGTACGACACACACCAAAAACACCATCCCATACCACTGGACAAGCTTCGTCCAGTGCCGCTGACGACAACGAACGTTACCTATCACGACTAATGACCCTTCACATTTGCTGCACGATACCCCGGCATCATTCAGTTCTTTGCATCAGCACCGCACATAGAGGTAGACCGAGACGTGCGACATCCGCCGCTCGCTACCAGGAGGAGAGGCATCGAATGCCACAAAGACGGGAACGCTGTGCCTGGCCAGGAGAAAAGTTCATGGTCCTTTTCAGCGAACATGGTTGGAAGCCACTGCATGGCACCAGTTGCGAAAAAAGTTTTAGCACGCAAAGTCGGCGTAGAGGGTTTTGAAAGATTCGTCACGGCAAGATTGCGAACGCCGTCACGTCTTGGAATGATGATTGAACGGACGACATTGGGCGGCTTGGAGCTTTTTTGATTGACACAGCTTCATCTGAGCGTTTAAGCGTTTGTACAGAATAGTACACAGCCGTCGAGAGACGGCTTTTGCTGGCAATTGATCGAGTTGGCATACGTGCTGCTCGCATTTCACCTCACAGCACCACCCTTTTTTTTCCCGTCTCGCCAGCACTTTTTCTTCCCCTGCCCGTTGCGCTGTTCGCGTACCTGCAGTGAACCATGTACCGAGCGACAGTAGGCCATGGTGTGTTTCAGCAGCGCGAGACGGGTGGCATTGAGAGCGCAATGCCACTCCACTCGTGCTGAGACAAGGCCAGATGGCGAGACTTCGTCGCGACACATAGTGCTGCGGCGCAATGGCGTGGGTGCGTGCTGCATCGCTCACGGCTATCGAGCAGTATCGCCGCTATCGCGATGGTGTCACGCTCGTGCTGACCAGGCAGGTGCGATGTGTGATGAGCGTGAACGGGCCGTTGCTGCAGCCACCACAGCTTTCGCGAGCAAAAAGACAGACGCCTCCCAGCCACCTCAACACCCTCCTAGGGCCATGTGCACGAGCGCGGAGAGTCGGCCGACGATCAGCAGACAGCGACAGTCCTTCGCAACATGTGTCACAGACACGAGCCAGCGTGGAGCGGCCACGCACTGCCGTTGACAACCGCGCCAGTCGCCACTCCGTTGAGAGCAGTCGTTCGCGCAGCAACGCCGATCGCCAGAAACTTCACAACACATCGCGCAGTTGCGGAAGACGTCCAGTCTGGCCGCCAGGACATCCTGGCTTAGCGCCCAGGCTGCTTGCGTGTCTTTTTCGCAGAAAACTCAACCTCCAAGTTACATCGTCGCAGCACACACACAGCTCGTGTGGGCCGCCCGCCGTGCGCTTGCGATCAAAAGTCGTGGTGGGCACGAGGATTCTCCCGACGCAGTGGACGCGCTGCTGCGAAGCGACCCAGTATTTCTCTTCCAATGCGGATATGCGGACGCATTAGGCGACATGAGAGCACAGCAGAGGAGCACGAGCGCTGCCAGCCCTCACTCAGCTGCGACTGCTGCTCGTTTACTTGCATTGCCGATTTCATGCTCTGCCGTGCTGTCGTGCGGACGAAACGCCGCCGCCGGGGTGCAGGATGATGCTGATTAGGCAATTGCATCCCTATCGCCGTCATCCTCCTCAGCATCCTTCATGGTCGTTTCTCCCACGAGACTCCGAGGCCATCGATTGTGGTCGTGGTGTTGCCCGCAACAGGCTGTGCACGAACACGAACGACCGTGCCGTACCTTGTTCGTGTGCTCCACAATTATTGCGCCAGCATTCCGAACATGATCGCCGGACGGAAGAAAGTAAGCAAAAAAAAGTCTGAGAGTATGCTAACTGAGACCCCACATGGCTGATTAAATCGTCCGGTGAAGGGAGCGCTTCGGGAATACAGACTTTGTCCCACTGCCAAGCACTCTGGTCGCTGTCCTGTGCTCACGGTGGTTCTCTCATGATTCTCCGCATGTCTCACATCTGGAGATTGGCGACGGTGACGACAACCACGAGGCACACCATCAGGGCACGAGCCATTGTACGAAAAGGGCCGTGTCCTGGCTTTGGTTGTTCTGATCCTCCCGCTGGATCAGCGAACGTCAGCTGAGAAGTATCGATACTACAAACTATCGATTCGTTGGATGTATCTCCGTACCTGCCCTCTTCGGCGCTTTAAGCCCCACCTATGGCGTGCACAGGATTTCCACAGGCCCTTGTCCGAGCGCCCAGAGCAGGACTATCACATGCTCGGCAACAGACCTTGCACGAGCAGCTTCCTATTGCTGTAGGAATCATGTATTGCAGGGTTTGACCAACATCCCTCGACGGTCTGAGGCCAGAAGCCTTCACATGCTACATACTCGTATTACGCTTCCACGTCCGCGCGAACCGCGTTCAGGAAACAGCACGCACGAGCGGACAATAGTCGTACCCGAGCGAGCTGTGGCAGCCGCTGCCGTGAGCTGACTTGCGTGAAATCTGGTAGGTTCGCGAGCTTCGTGTCAGATTATCGAACGGCCGGTCAGCAACTATACGTCGTCGCGTCTGCAAACGGAACGCGCCGGCGTGACGAAACAATACAGTACCTGATACTTCCATCAGCACATGGAAGACGAGATCCGGTCTGATGTGAAGGTGCGCCAAAAATTCGGTACAGGCGATCTATTCTAGCCCTTATTTGTTGTCCTCAGCCTCAAACTGCTTCTCCAAATCACGGAGGCCGTTGAACACCTTCTCCCACTTGGTCCATTCCTTGTCACCATCTTGGAAACCACCAGCTAGTGGCAAACGGTTACCCTTGCCACTGCCGATACCCCAGACACGGGCGATCGCCTCTTTCATACCAACGGGACCCCAAGTGGCAATGAGCTTCTCGCCCTCGCAGATGCGGAATTGCAAATCACGCTGGAGTTGAAGATCTTCCTTGCTCGTTCCCTTGGCGGAGCTCTCGTGGAACTGCTTGAACAATTTGACCACGACTCGTGGGAAACATCCTGCCAGACCGTCGATGGCGGCAACGCCACCAATAGTCAACACTGGAAGAAGGTTCTGGCCAAGACCGGTGAAGACGTAGAAGTGGTCGTGGTCGATGTTTGGCGAGGCGGCGATCAAAGTCTGGTCGTCAATGATACCGTGTGACAGCTTGCAGCCAACAATGTTTGGGTGTGCGGCAAGCTTCTCAAATGTCGATGGAGCAATGAACAGGTTGTTCGTCACGCCTGGGTAGTGGTAGCTGCGAAGGCGTCAGACTTTGTTCTTGGGATGTGTCCTAAAAATTATGGGCGAAACTCACATCAAGATTGGAATAGGTGAGCGATCTGCGACCACTTCGAACCATTTCTGAATACCAGCTTGGCTGGTTGCTGCAGCGAAGTACGCGGGTCCGAGCACCATGGCGTATTCTGCACCTGCATCTTGGCTGTCCTTGATCATCTCCACCGTGTCGTCAATGTTCTGCGTTGCTGTGCCAGCAATGATCGGTCTGTCTTTGAACCCAGCATCGTCTAATGTCTTTCTTTGGCTCTTGATCAACTCGTGTCGCTCGGAGTTTCGCACGAAGATTGCCTCGCCTGTGCTGCCCAAGATGACGAGACCCTTCACGCCGCCTCGCACCAAGAAGAGGGAGTGCTCGGATTGGGTCTCAATATCGATCGGTGGAGAAACTTCATCGTAGTTGGCGCTGCCTTCCTTTGCGAAGAAGGTAGGCACTGGGACGTAGATGCCTGCTGGTGGAGGGGAGGCAGCGCCTCTGGTGCCGTTCGTAGTCATGCTGTTCTGTGAGTGTTGCGGAATGAGCGGAATTTTAATTCTTCGAGATCTTGACGAACTCGGTGAAGGCAGGGACAAATCTAAGGTCACGGTTAAAGATGAACGGGCAGAAGAGCAGCACCGTTCTATCAAATAAAGGGCTTTTGAAACAATGAGCCCATCGATATCGCCGCAGAGGCCGACGTTCGGCATAGCATTGACCCCCAAACCTCTGTCTTCGACGTGTCTAGACAGCTCCCCACGCTCCCCACCTCCCAATGCTGGTAGAGGGTCCTGGAGGGTCCACAGGGATACCCATAGCTTATCGGAGGAGCTCACCCCGAAGCCCTATACGCGCAGCAATTCTTCCAAACCATGTGGTTGCATGTGATGGCGATGGAGGAAGGACATTGTCGTGTTGTAGAATGGAAGAATGTTGATGGCTGTGTATTTGAGAAGGCAGAAGAAGAGGAAGTGACAGCCGACCGCATTGACCTCGTCGGACCTTCCGCTGCCAATCTTCCCCAGCAAGATCACCTCACGACGCGCTACGCGTTCTTGCAGCTGACGCAGCACCAACGCGCAGAGACAGGCTAAAAGTGTTTCTGCCTTTCGACATCCCGCCGGACCAGAAGATTGATGAGGCCACCTGTTTCGACGTTCAGTCTGGTCCGCAGGCACGAAGAACACATTACCCGAAGCCTGATCAGCGGCTGAGGAGAGAAAAAGACTCTTGGAGCGGATACAATACACTGGCGGCCGTGGGAGGGAGGAGAAATGCGAATTTGTGCGCCGCAGAGCACGAGGTAGGAAGGTAGGCATGCCGGACGCACAAAGAGTAGGGTTTCGTGAAGTTGGAGGCAGAGTGAGGATGGCTCTCGAGGCCTCTCACTATTCACATGATTTCAACGAATGGCAGATGATCACGTTGGAACTTTGCTTTCAGGACAAACTCATGACGAGTGCAAGCATGACCAGTGCAGCAATCACACGCAGCCTGTGCCCACAGCATGGAATGATGATCGTGGCCAGGTATATCGCTGCCTCAATTTCCCAACCCATCTTCCCTCACTCACAGACAAACTAATTTCGCGGTATCCCCTTGATCATGTCTGGGCCAGGAACAATCCAGACTGTCTATACGACCTCAAAGAAAGGCAAGCGAGAGCGTTTGGGCGAATGGTTCCTGCGCAGCGCGCAACGCAGCCATTCGAAACGCGGTATACTCACGAACGGAGCCACGGACGGTATCACAACCCAAGCCGCACAGTCGGATACCTCCACACAAAGCATCGACAATGGTGCAATTCACTCGAATGGCAATACTCCTGGCCCCACCGATAATCTGGCGCAAGACCAGACGCGCCGTGACCGGGCCACAAGTGCACCTCAGATCCAAACGGATCACAGGCATATCCAGTTTAGCGTCTTGAACGACATTGTGGAGCGAGAAAGCCGCTCCAGCGGTGATGGTGGCAGTTCACCTATCCAAAGGCCGCCGAGTCGTGTCAGTAGTCGATTGTTCGTCGCCGAAGATTTCGCAGAAGCAAGCGAGATTGAAGAATTGTTGTACTGGGGACCAACAAGAGATATCGCAGCCGAGAAGCTCGTGAAGCTGTTGGACAAAATTGGCAAGAAGTCGAAGGAGGCAGCCGATACCAACTACAAGCTCATCAGCAAGCATTGCGGCTCGTACAACTGCGCTTATATTCTCGAGTCGAATTTCAAAGAACGGACATGCATTCGAGTCCCAGCCTACGGATTTCCAGGCAGGTGGAATGACTTCGACGCAAAATTGCTCCGAGAGTCTGCTTTGGGCATGAAGTATATTCGGGACAAAACAGACCTTCCCATACCGCGGTTGTTGTCTTATGACCTATCGTTGGACAACGAGATCGGCGCACCATTCATTGCGATGTCATACCTGGGTGGGAGACCAGTAGAGGAGGTGTGGCCTCAACGAGAGGGCGAGGACTTCAGTGATACGGACGCTAGGCGCCATCACATCCTTCACAGCTTGGCCAACACTATGCCTTTGCTCGAGTCAGCGGTGTTCTCCCGCTACGGCGCTTTGCACTTCGACAAAGACGATTCGGAGCCGACAGTGGGTGATACTTCACGCCTTACGACAGATGACATCTTTGTGCTCCAGCGCAAATTCAAGCCTGTGCCATTCAGGTCGTCGCTGGAGGACTACGTGCATGCCGCCAAACGCAAGCGATTTGATGAATACAACTACCCCCATGACAATGATGATCCATTCATCAAAGGACTCTTTCTGCTCTGGGAGCTCTTCTGTGAGCGCTTCCTCGATGTTGTGAAGGTTGAGCCAGGTGAGCCCGGGTTCGTCCTTATGCAGTCCGACTTCAACCCACAGAACATTCTCGTGGATGACAGAGGTAATGTCACCGGCCTCATCGACTGGGACTGCCTCGAAGCCATTCCACGTCAAATCGGGTGGTCCTCGGTGCCACACTTCATGCGGAAGGATTGGGAGCCTGAGTATGTGTGGCCAACTCCGGAAGGTTCGAGGCAGCTGCTGCAGCCCCATGAGTTTGACAAATACCGCAAGGCATACAGTCGCTATATATGCGAGGCGTGCCCGGGCAGTAATGACTCGAGGTTCACATCCAAGAGCCACATCTATGCCGCCCTCCTACGATCTGGCGAACACATCGACAACGTGAAGCGTTTCGTTTCGAACGTGCTCGGTGATATCTTGCCTCGTCTCGGTGGCGTTCAAGACGAGTTCATCAGCCATATCGGCGAGCACGGCTACCGGAAGGACCAGAAAGAATGGCTGGACACTCGGTTGCGAGAGTTCCTTGCGCCTGACGGATGCTGAAGCACTTGCAACTTTTGAAGACGCTTTTCGGCGCCGATGTTCGGACCCTGGCTCGTGCTCAAGCTCATCGGTGAGCACGTGGCAGACATGCGAAACTTACCATGGCGTCACTTTCCATCCTGATCCTTGATGCGTATAGTGTGTTTATAGACTTAATATAAGGGAAGTATATCTTATTAATAATTTTAGTAAGTCTTTATATTAATTATCCTTAGCGAACAAGGTTCTATACGAAGTAATTAGAGATAGGCGGGCTAATTATACTTGTCTTTCGCTACTAAGTATAGGTAGTAGAGTCTAAGACTACTAAAGAGATAAACTTTTATAAGAAGACGCCTTTAATTATAACTAATAGAAGGACGTATATAGTATAGATAGGCTTCTTTATAGAGAGTATTTAGTTAGATAATAAAGTCGGTAGTATAATAAAGATTTATATTCTAATTTAAAAGAAAGTAGCGAACGAGCTAGCTATATATATAATACTTCTATCTCTATCTCTATACTAGAATAGAATATCTATTAATCTAGCTAACTAAGCTAGTTTATATAAGGTAGCTACTAAACTAATACTAGTAATCTTTCTTTTCTTATATAAACTTACTTAAAACTATAGTAAAATTAATACTTCTAATAACTAATAGTATATCTCTAGCCTCTAATTAGCCGATAGCTATTATTCTCGAATTTATATTATTTTATCGAGTTAATTCGTCTTTACTAAGTTAGTTTACTTTTTAATCTATCTTTAGATATTATATAATATCGTTCCTTAATTAATAAGTGTTATTAATACTTTATTCGGTATTAATTTAGTTATAGTATTAGTAGAGTTAGTAGTTCTATTAATCTAGTATACTTTATAGACCTCTCTAGCTTTATATATCTATCTTAGTACTATAATATCGATTATTAAGTATTTCTTCTTAGTAGTACCGAGCTTAACTATATATTTATAAAGCGAGAGTAAGTTAGTATAGACGATTAATAGTAAGACTAGTTTATCTAGTTACTATAAGATTATAAATAGATAGATAGATAAAGTCTTATATTCCTAAACCGGC